ATCTTATAAATATATTCAGCATTTATTTCTGTTATTCTCACCTGTCTTCTATTTTTACCATTGGTTTTAAAGCACCTTAAGTTTCATTTGAGAAATAATTCTATATATAAAGAACAATGGACATTATATGAGGGAATATTTTAAGTGTTTGTGCTAAACTCAAATGTTTTAATATTTTATTTATTATTTTTATTTTATATGTATGTGTGTATTGCCTGCATGTAGGTAAGTGCACCCGTGTCATGCAATGCCTGTGGAGGACAGAAGAGACCATCAGATCCCCTGGAACTGGAGTTACGGACAGTTGTTAGCTTCCATGTGGGTGCTGGGATTCGAACCCAGGTCTTCTGCAAGAACAACCAGTGTTCTTAACCACTGAGCCTTCTCTCTAACCCCACTAAACTCAAATTTAAAATTACAAATAGACTCATTATTGCAGATAAATGTGCACTACTATCTGACTATCTTCAATTGTAATAACATTATGCATGCATTAATGACTGAAAAATAATTGATTTAGAAATTATTTCATATAATGTTTCCATCACAGCTTTATTTTGGCAGTGGCTACATAGCCCCATGGATCTCCTGGGTGATGGGAACCACACGACAGTGACAGAGTTCATTTTTTTGGGCTTAACAGATGACCCAGTCCTTCGAGTCATCCTCTTCCTCATTATCATGTGCATCTACCTGGTGACTATGTCTGGAAACCTCAGCACAATCCTGCTAATCAGACTCTCTCCTCAGCTCCATCACCCCATGTACTTTTTCCTGAGCCACTTGGCTTCAACTGACATAGGCATTTCATCTTCTGTCACACCCAATATGCTTGTTAACTTCCTGGTGGAGAGAAATAACATCCCCTACCTTGGGTGTGGCATCCAGCTTGGTTTAGCTGTATTCTTTGGGACACTTGAATGCTACCTTCTGGCTGTCATGGCTTATGATCGCTTTGTAGCAATCTGTAGTCCACTGCTTTATTCAACTAAAATGTCTGCGCAAGTATGTGACCAATTGCTTGTAGCAGCTTACGTAGGTGGATTTCTTAATGCATTCTCCTATACGTTTTCCTTCTTCTGTTTAGTCTTCTGCGGACCAAATAGAATCAATCATTTTTTCTGTGATTTTACTCCTATAGTTGAACTCTCCTGTTCTGATGCCACTGTCTCTATAGTTCTCACCACTATTTCTGTTGTCAATGTCATTGTGATTACACTATTTGTCATTGCCAACTCCTACATCTACATCCTCATCACCATCCTGAAGATGCCCTCCACTGAGGGCCGCCGCAAAGCCTTCTCTACCTGCACCTCCCACCTTACTGCAGTCACTCTCTATTATGGAACTGTCACATTTATTTATGCGATGCCCAAGTCCAGTTATTCCACTGACCAGAACAAGGTGGTGTCTGTTTTCTACATGGTGGTGATCCCCATGTTGAACCCTCTCATCTACAGTCTCAGGAATAATGAGATTAAAGGTGCTCTGAAGAGACAACTTGGTAGGAAAATGTTTTCTTAAAGACATGTTGTAGGGCTTCATACAGTACTAACATGTCATAGATATAATATTTAAAGTAATGTATCTGTGGTTGAAGTAATTCCTTTCATATGTTATAACAAGTAAGAAGTTTTTCAATAAATATAGTGGTTCAAACTTCAGAATATATGGTCAATATGGGGTTCATCATAAGCTATATTTTATAGAGACAAAATGTTTTAAAAGCATGAATAAAATCATATAAATATAAGCTGTTTATCCTGCTTTGAATTTGATATTAAATGTCCCAGTTTCTTGTAGTTTGTAAAAGATGTGTTCTCCATGTGATGATCTTAGAAAATACTGGAAACTTTGAGAGGTTGAGCCTAGTGAGAAATTTTAGTTGATTGGTGGCATGGCATCAAAGGAGATGGTAGGACTTGACAAATTCTCCTTCTCTGTTCCTTTCCAGAATCATATGGTGAGTGGTTTTGTTCTATGTAATCCTGCCATGATGTGCCATCACATGCCCACAACAACCAAGTCAACTCTTCAGGGAATGGAGCCTCCTAAACTCCATGCCAAAAATAATTATTTTCTGTTCATTATCTGATTATCTTAGATACTTGAAACAGAAAAGTAACAGAAACAAAGTATGACTAGTACATCCTTCAATAATGCAGGCTGTCTGATTTAACACTAGCAGATCTCAATAAGCTTGAGAAACAGCTCTCACAGTACATTGTAAGAAAAAAATCAGTAAGTTAAAAAAGCAATCAATGAGAAAATTACTAGAAACATTCTTCTTGAGGAACATATTAAAAATGGATGTGTGGTTTTGGCCTTCAGTCCTGACCTAGTTATGGAGTCTCTAAGAAGATAGGAGATCCTTCCTTAATTAATCTATGAATTGCTTTCTTAGATCCAAAAGTTCCTCTGCTGGTATGACATTGGTTCCTGAGATTCCAAGGACCAAGCAAAACAAAACACAATTTCCCAGAAGAGAGTCAAGTTTGTAAGTTTGAGGTTGAGGCTTTGAAGGAGAAACTATTTCTTGCTCAGACTCATATCCTGGAGAATTCCACTCAACTTTCATATGCTGGTAACAATCACTTTTAAATTTCCTTTCTTCTTCTCACTGCAGTGTTTTTTCAGTGATTCATCTTATTGCTTATAGAACCAGGAACAGTAATAGCTTCCCTCATCTGCTTATAGTTTTCATACATTAAAAATTATGCCCACTGATTTTAACCTACACGTCAGATGCTACTCTAATCTGGGGTTTCAAATTAAAACAGACAAAGATGGAATAGATCTTCTAGTATAATACCCAGATAATAAACTTCAAAAGTGATTTAAACTCTGAGTAGAAGTTGAGTACTCTAGAGAAAACAAAACCAAAACTAAACTAAATTAAAGCAGAGCAAATTTGTGAGGTTGACTGATATGTGTGCCAGAGGCAGGGAGTGGACAGTACAGGTCTCTCTGGTATCCTAATCACCAAGCAAAATTGCACGCTGTGTGGACACTTATGTCCAACAGGATACTACCTGTGTAGAGTTAGCTGTATGAGTCCAATATTGCACATAATATATGAATTTACCATTGTGGCTTCTTCTGTTGCATCAGTGGCAGAGCTGGTCATTTTAAACATTCCCATAATGACCACAAGTAGATAAGAAGATAAAATGTTGAGTATATCTTCATCATCAAATTAAAGTGAAGAATTTTGGAGGTATTTCCAGAAGGTATGTGAGCCCAGGGAAGTAGACCTAACAGCCATAAATTCTTATTCAAAGGTAGAATTTGATAATTCAGAAGGAAGTGCTGCCAACCTGTACTATGCATTTACTGTTCTTGTGGGATGATGGAGGAGAAGTAAAAAAATAGGGCATGTCCTTGAGAGAAGTGTGATTGACAGATATCTCATATATCCTCAGGATAAAGGGAAACTTTATTATTGCAACGACTGTAGTTGTACAGGTTAAGGCATCGTGTGTCTTGCGTTTGGCCGTAATATGTCTAAGAACAAGTTGTAGCTCAGGGTGAATTGAGTAGCTGGATAATCAACCAAAGTATCAATTATTCCTATCAAACAGAAATATAATGACAAGCCAAAAGGAAACAAAGACTATCAACATACAAGAGGAATGAAAATCCTAATATTTAAACTTCAGGAATTGATCAGTACAGACCATAATATTCCATAATATTACTTTGATTAAGAAGGAAAGAGCCCCTTGAAATGCATACAACCACAGATAATGAAAGCATAATGCCTCAATTGTATGTAAAATGATCAAATGAAAGCATGACTGTGCACTAGCTATAGTAGGCATCTCTGCTTGGTGAGCTGTCCTCCTGGGTTTTCAGACAATACTGCAGGGGCAGGACAGGCAGAGAAGCATCTTGGTTTAGAAGTCCCATGACCCTCACTAGATTAAAATTTATTTAAATGGTCTCAGATATATTTTTCAGGGTCCCTGCAAAGGTTGTTTAGATTTGTAAATAGCACTATATACAGGGACCCATATGGCATAAACAGTGTCTGCTATATAGCGTCCTCCTAGCCTAGCTACATTATACAATAAAAAATCATCATCATCATCATCATCATCATCATCATCATCATCATCGCTTTTGTTGTTGTTATTATTATCAGATTTTTCCTGAGACAGGGTCTCCCTATAGTCCCAGCTTGCCTGGAACTTACTATGTGGTCCAGGATAGCCTTGATCTCACAGAAATCTTCCTGCCTCTCCCTCAGAGTGGTAGGGTTAAAGGCATGTTCCACCACATCTGACATTTCATTATTGTTTTAAAAATATATATATTTTGGTGGTTTTTGAGACAGGGTCTCCTTGTATTCCCAGCTGTCCTGGAACTCGCTATGTAGACCAGGCTGGCCTTGAACTCACAGAGATCTGCCTGCCTCTGCCTCCCAAGTGCTGGGATTAAAGGTATGCACCACCACACCCAGCATGTTTTAAAAAATATTTTTTATTAATTCTTGAGATTTCATCCATTGTAGTTTGAGCATATTCACCCCTAACTCTTACCCTTAACTCCTTTCAGATTCATTCCCTCCTCCCTACCTATAATTGCATGCCCTCTTTTCTTTTATTTATTTAATAACACATCAACTCCAATTTGGCCTGTCTATATACTTCAGGTGTGGGTCCATCCACTGGAGCATGGTTAACCATACCCTTAAAGAAAACTGACACTCCATCTTCCAGAAACTATCAATGGTCCATAGCTCCTCAGTCTGGGATGGGGGCTCATGAGCTCGTCTCCTTTAAGCTGAAATGTTGACTGGATTGATCTTGTGCAGGTCTTGTGTAGGCAATCAAATTTCTGTGTGGTCATAAATGCAGTGGTACTGTCATGTCCTGAAGACAGTTTCATTCCAGTCCTCCCTGACCTCTGATTCTTACAGTCTTTCTGCTTCCTTTTCTGTGATGGTCCTTGAGCTTCAGTGGGGAGGGGTGTAAAATAGATGAGATGGCCCATCTGTGACCAATTACTTTACAGACACTTATTCTCTGCACTTTGATATGTGGTGAACTTCTGTATTAACCCCCTTTCAATACACATAGAAACTTCTCTGATGAGGTCAGAGGGCTGTACTAATCTATGGGTAAAGGGATATGAATTTAGAGAGCAGTTTGAGTCCATGTCCATTTAGCAAAATGATAGTAGTTGTTCATCGTTGGGGGGTCTATGAGCTCATCCACCATAGGTTCTTAGCCAGAATTACAGTACAGGTATGTTTTCTCCTGTGGAACAGGCCATAAATCCAATCAGAAAGGGTTTGGCAGAAATATTATCCCCATAATATTTTGTGCTATTATTATACCTGTTGGGAAACCCTGCTGTTAGGGTTGTAGTCCTCCATGTCTGGATAGCTCTAAGGGGCTTGGCGCCAAATGGAAGGACTCCCCTTCTCAGCAGGGGGCTTCCTGCTCTCTTCCTGACTTACCTGGAAAGTGCCACCAAGCATGGATGCCTGACCTTATTTGGAACATGACCTTTGGCATAATTACCTGGAGTAAAAACTACCCCCAGGTTTTTTCTATATGATAATCAGGCATTTCCTGATAGTCGGATGATAGGAGCCCACTGCCACATGTAAATAAAGCATACTATGAGCATCTATCAGCTGAGGCTTTGGCTGCTGCCTCCACACTATATTTTCCCCACTTCTCCCACTAAATAGATGGAGCTGTTTCACTGAATCTAGACCTGTATCACTGAATCACTGAGTCTGGAGCTGTTTGCGTTGTTGAACCTGCCTCCCCGGAAGGGCTTTCTTCGGTCGGTGCTCACTGGCCATCCTGACCCCGCTAGTCGCTTCTGCTCCCCTTGTCCCCGTGTACCAGTGGCCAATGCCCCGTGAGGAGAGGGAGAGACCCCACATATACCCATGGGCATATCTTGCCAAACCAGTCATTACTGCAGTTGATAGTGTTTTCAGGTGAGACTGTTGATAGTTTCTTTCCCTAGCAGCCTTCAAAGCATCATTGAGTGCTATGACAGCTAGCCAGCAGGGAGGAAGCTTTCCAGTCAGTACTGACTTGATTTCTCCACGTCTTGTGACCAGTGTGTATGGTAACTTCAGCATACGGTGTTATCATCAGTTCTGTTGGGCAACCAAGAGCAATGGCAATAGACTGTATTGTTTTAGGGTGTCTCTAGGCCAGTTCTGACCAATAACTTAAAGAGAAGCATTCCACACTAGCGCTGGGCATTTATATAGCAATCTATGGCTTCTAGGATGAACAAAATCCTTAGTGTATGGTTTATTTGTGGTGTTTCCAACATTGTCAATGTTAGTTATCCCTCCCCCAATCCTTTTCTCTACCTTATCTGCTGTATAAAGCAAAGTTGGACATAGCACAGTTGACATGTCCATTTATAAGGAACTCGGTGAAATAAGAAGTTCATTCATGTCAAATTTTTCCTTAGGCCAGAATATTTTATTAACCTTTGATCTTTTTAAAAAAATATTTTTTATTTATTATTTTTATTTTATGTGTATG